TGTAGTCCCTAACTCTAACCGAAAACTCTTAAGAAAAAGGTGGTGATCCCATAGCCATTCTTATCAAGACACACCATCAAAACTGTGAGTGTGGGAATGTAAACAGAAGAAAATGTTAAGTAGCTAGGGCTGTATGATGACTCTGGTGAGTGGGATGAGATCTGCCTCCTGACTTAATGTGCAGAGGACAAGGGAGTTCAGGAACTCAAACTTCACTTAAAAGCCAGGCCTAGCACAGGGGGTGCTAACCTAGAACCCCCGAGCCAAGCCTCACACATACATGGCTTTTACAGGCTGCGACCCAAGATGATCTGTGAAATGGCTTCTCTACTGACCGCAGACCTTTAGCTTTGCCTCTTAGGCATATGCTGACTTCCCTCCCCCAGCTGGAATCTGGCATTAAAGATGCTCATTTTGCATTCAAATGACCAACATCTTTACTAGAGAAGCTACCACACTTCTAAAATTCCCATGCCTTGAAATTATCCCTTCCTTCCGCAGACACCCCTAAGTCCCTGTTATCAACCAAAGCTTCCATTCCTTCAGGCAGATCTCTCAGATACAAGACTAGCCCTCCCCGATTCCAGAATAAATGAAGAAACTCTTAACCCCAAAAAACCTTAGTTAACAAAATTGGGGAATTACTTAAATTTCTTCATCTACTCATTCACTCATTCAAATACTGAGCATCTGCTGTTCCAGACACTTGGGAAACACCAGTGAGTAAAACCCACATGGCTGCGCCCTGTGGACCTCACATTTGCGCTCTCCAAGACTGGTCCACGGCTTGCACGTCCACGTGGAACCCAGCCAGACTCCTGGCCTTTAGGCTCGCTCCTGCGATTCACTGTGCCGTCCACCCCTATGCATCGGGTCACAGTGCACAGCTTACTCAGCCCTTCAGGGTTTGAACTCAGGTGAGGAAATGGGGAAAGCATTAACTCTCAACAGGCTGGCTATGAGCGCGAAGAGAGGAAAGACTCGTACACATTAGGGAGCACCCACGAAGCACCAGGATGAGCTCAATGCCGTTCAGATGTCACACGTGGCCTTGGCACTACACACTGACATTCAATGCAGCTGAGTCTGTGTCCCTTCATTGGTGGCCCAACACTTACAGAAACAAGCCCCACGCCTTCATCATTGCCACCATGTTTTCCATGCCTGGCCCCATGTTACCTTCCAGCCCCAGCCACACTTCCTTCCTCCACACCCCTCCCCTTCCAACCACACTGCGAATCTGCTGCTCCTTGGACAGGTCCTGCCCTCTCCTGTCCTGTTATCGCTGCAATCCCTACTGCCCATCCCTCCACCTACTGACCTTCTACTCACCCTTCAAAACGCAGCTCAAGCTCTGCTGTTCCCATGAAGACATTCCTGGCACCCCCAGCATGACAGCTGCTACTTGCACCTCTATCACAGCACTTTTCACTTCTCCTTGTACACTAGACACTTGACGCTTGAGAATAATATAGACAAAGTTCTCAGGAACTCCCAAAGTTGCACAAATCACCAAAATATAGATATGTGCCCTCAAAATGCACATGCAAGACAGGTAGACAATATGGATGAGATAGCTAGTTTCATTTATCCCTTCACTTCTGAAAGTACCTGGACAGGCATGATTCAAATTTACGTCTTAGCAAATTATACCTGACAATAACCAAAGACACAAATGCTACATCTGTGTATGCTGTAGTCTAATTTATTAGCTTGTTAAACCATCTCCTTAAAAAAAAAAAAAAACCAAAAAACTGCTCTTACTAGATTATAAATTCCCTGAGAAAAGGAGCATGGAGTTGTTTGACATTATTAACCTCTGTATCTCTTGGAGGACTGAAAATTCAATTAAGATATTTTGAAGAAAAAGAATGAAGGGTGCACAAGAAGAATCTAGAGTGGACTAGATTTGCTTGATCATTTTTAAGAATATCAGTTAATAGTCTGACATCAACCTGGAGGGAGATCTTCCAAGAGTTAACTCTATGGGGGTGATGTCCACACATGAAGGCTGCAGGGGAAACAGGAGGCTTTTGTAGAAGGTCTCTCTGCCTGAGGGGCTTCTTTGAGAGGAGTCAGCTTGCTTCAGGAAAGTGGATTTTTGGGTCATCCACCTCCCCTGACATGTTAGAGTAAACTAAATCCCAACAATCTAAGAGCCCAGCCAACTGAAAAGGTGAGGTAGAAAAATGAGTCTGCCAGCACCCTGCTTCGGTCTGCTTCCATGACTGCTACTCCATTTGAACAAGTACAGCAAAAATACATTATCTTCTCATAGAAAACTAAAGCATACTCTACACTAAAAAACACGACTTAGCAGTAACACAACTATTCATTCATTAATTCAACCAAACCTTTATTGCGGTCACTCTAACGGTCAACACAAAGCAATGGAAACAGGTACATTACATGATCATCAGGAAATGTGACAAAGAGTTTTCATTTTACTTTTAAGTTAATGAAGGCAAGGCTAATATCTAGCAGCAGCCAGCGTGGGTCTTCCCTCTCCCCGCCAGGTGGGGCTTTGATTTGGACCCCTGATGACACTACGCAATAGCAGCTTCTCCCACCTCTCCTACGCCACGCCCCAGACTACTTTCCCAAACACATTCCATACAGAAATTGTAAAATGGTCTCTGCTTGTTATGAGGGGAAAAAACAACCACTAAACCAAAATTAACCACGTCTTACAAATCAAACTCCCCATGCCATTCTCTCCCTGCACTCTTCCCTCCATTCCTCACGGTCCACTGCTAACAGATCGGCATTTGTTCTTCCAACGGACAAGTGTACACCCTTCCGGGGGGTTGTTTTACTAAAACTGTAATAACTCCATATCTATTGTTCAGTAAGTTGTTGTTCTTTTTTCTCAATATTTACAGATACTTTTTAATCACCCAAAACAACCAAATAAGAAACACTTTTGGTATCTCTAAATCGGCTTATTTTTGTCTTTACAAATTTATCTTCTGCTGATAATGTCTTTCTAAAGTACAACTATTTTTTTCCTTTATCCTCAGCTCACCAAGCCTCCTCTATGCTTAATATGGCAAAAACTTCCGTATGTGTTATTAATCTCTTGAGTTTCAGGAATACATTTTTGGTTTTGACATCCTATTGTTAAAGTATTTGCTTTGATTAATCTTATCAGCTTTGCTCTTTGCTTCATGAGTCAAGCCTACAAAGCAACTTCCTATTTGCATAACAAGTCCAAACCATTCTAGATCATTAATCAACAAAAAAACATTTCCCTTAATGGGCAATATATATTTTCTATGGAATGCTAATAGGACAATATATGCATTATGTGTATCGCAAAACACCTTCTCCTACTGACATCTAACCCGATGTCTTGTTCTTCGGGGGAAAAAAAGCTAGCTTAAAGAACTGGGCTCATAATTATCATAACTATCTTTCTACATGTTTGCTGTTTTCAAATTCAAGTGCGTCAAGTAGCTGGTGCCGAATGAGATGGCCAGACCCCTCAGCCCATTCCCAAAGGCTTCCTTTCCTGTGCCTTCCCCTAACCTAAACAGTCCCGTGGCTAGTGGCTTATTCTTATGCTGCTGGGTACCCCAAAGAGCCATAAAAAATGGGGCAGCATCAGGGGGCCCTGTTGCTTTTTCTCAGGCCAGGAAATAGGTCCCCTCTGGGAAAGTGCACCAGTGCACGGATGTGTAATGACACTTGATCCAAAGGACACAAGGCGAGGGTGGGAATCCTTCCATGATTACATTTAAACTATTAATATTTCATGATCTGTGAAAGTTTTGGGACAATTAAAAAAAGTAATATTCATGCCTTCAATCTTACACAGTCCGTTCTCTCAGTAACTCTGACGCTGGCTCCACCCTTTTCTCTCCTGCACTATACTCTTCCCTGGCAATTATCTTCTTGCACTGAAACAGCACTGTTAAGAAGCATGAATATCAAAATGATCATTCCTCTGTAACCTTCAGAGAACTCAAAAAATAAAATTAGAATCAGAGCAGAGCAGAGCATGTGAAAATTAAAAACTACAGGACCATGAGAAGTATTCTGAACTCACCAGACTCACATTAAGTGAAGAATGACAGTCAGTGACACACATCTCGAGTTCATCGGAACACAGGACGACTCTCCAAGATCTCAGCCATTCAGCAGAAAGCCCCTCACCTTCAGAGGACACTCGGGGAGATGCAACCCTGAGATCCTGCATGTCTCACCAACCCCCGAGGACTCTGAGAGCCCGGGGAGAAGGGAGTGATTCTACAGCAGACATCGCCTGGCTCCAGGCCGACTTCCTGGAGGCCAGGGTGTCCCTGCAAACGCCAGAATTCCTCCTCCCCAGAGGTGATGCTCGTTTCTTCCCTTGTCGTTTCCTCTATTTGGGGGCAAGGATATTTATCACTAAAGCCATATCATAATTTATAAGCTCCCACAACTTTAATCCTTAAAATCCTTATTGCACAGTAAGGAAGTAAATAGATGGGAACAGAACTTACTCTCATTTTTGTATTAACAACTAAAACAAAAGAGATGTCAACTGCTTAGAAATGAATAGTCATAAAAGTCCACATTTCATTAATGAGATTACTAATTATAAAGCACCTACTGTGCACCACGGACTGCACTATCTACCAGTCAGGAAGGGAAGCCTGACGACCTCGTCATTTAAGCAGTCAGAAAGCAGACAAGTCTTAAATTGTAACATCATACCCCACCAGCATTATTCTCACAAATAAATACAGTTGAGAATGATGGGTGTCGAGAAGACAACTCACAGACTCCCCGGGAGAACCCTGTGTTGCCTTCTGGGTGCAGCGCACGGGAACCAGTGGCTGAGGCAGCCTGAGCACGCGTTCTCAAGCCCAGTTTGTACTCCTGGTCAGCAAAGACGCTCCTATCCTATCTTCTACTTGCTCCTTACACACAGATCTTCCCAATATGACAACGCACTCACCCAAACTCAACCCAGCGTGAGCCATTCCCCATGGAGAAGAGTACAGTCTGAAACCCACCTGCTGGACGTCCTGCTGGAACACGCACAGCTGCAGCCTCTGATGGAGCCGGACCTTGCGGTGCTGCCAAATGTTCTCGAGCTGCCGCTGGTGGTGCAGCACCTCGTGGATGACATCCAGGACGTGGTGGACGGCCTTGGAGTAGTTGGCAGAGGCCGTCAGGGAATCGGAGCTGCCTGGAGTCAAGGGCCGTTGGAGCTTGTCAAGGAGTGACTTCCCATCTTGGCTCACCTGCCCACAAAATAAATGAGCAATTATTCAAGATTTAAGGCTTTGCTCCAGCTGTGCTGTAGATGCTGTCTTTGGATGCACTAGTGCACACACACAGGCACACATATACCCAGGCATTCACACACAATCTCACACCAAAGTTTTACTCAAAGGCATATTTTATGTAAAATAAAATAAAACTTAACTAGTAAGTACAACCTCTGTGGAAAGCAATATGGAGATACCTCAAAGAGATATAAGGAGAACTACCATTCAATCCAGCAATCCCATTACTGGGCATCTACTCCAAAGGACAAAAGACATTCTATAAAAAAGACATCTGCATTAGAATGTTTATAGCAGCACAATTCACAATTGCAAAGATGTGGAAACAACCCAAGTGCCCATCAATACCTGAGTGGATTAATAAAATGTGGTATATGTATACCAATGAGTTCTATTCAGCCACAAAAAACAATGGTGATCTAGCACCTCTTATATTATCCTGGATGGAGCTGGAACCCATTCTACCGAGTGAAGTATCCCAAGAATGGAAAAACAAGCACCATGTGTACTCATCATCAAATTGGTATTAACTGATCAATACTTAAGTGCATATATAGTAATAACCTCCATTGGGTGTCGGGCAGGGGGAGGTGGGGATGGGTACATACACATGTAATGGGTGGGGTGCGCACTGTCTGAGGGATGGACACGCTTGGGTGTCTGGCTTGGGTGGGGCAAGGGCAATATACGTAGCCTAAACATTTGTACCCCCATAATATGCTGAAATAAAAATAAATAAATAATCAGCACTTCCACAAAATGTCTAAAATTCAGGTATTGAAAAATAAACATGTTGCGTTCTGGCACAACTACAGTTAGAAGAGGATTAAAGGCAGAGAATAGGACATTCCGCAGGCCTCGCTTGCTACGGGGGGAATGAGGCAGGCTGACCGAGAGCTTCCACACCAATTGCTGGTGGCGAGTTCCTCTTCCCTGCTGCCAAGAACTGGAATGAGATGGCTAGAGCATCAGCAGCTATTGATTACTCTGAGGCACCCTTAAAAACAGCAGTCCACCTGCTAATCAATGCAATATAGAAAGACAGAGGATCTTAGAGATCCTCTCACTAACAGCTACTCCATTAGCCCGGGAATGCCAGTCTTTGGATTTCTTTTACACAGGCAGACGGCCAATCTCCATCTCGAGCCACTGTTTTGAATCTTAAACCATCAATATAAAATGACAAAATGAGTTCCTAGCCTTCACCAAGTTTGCAAAAGGAATCCATGTGACACCATTAATATTCTTCTACTGAGAATGGAATACTCTGAGCAACAATATTCCAATGAATCTTTCTTTCCTTGAGTGTCTTTCCAACGGTTTCACAGATCTCAGTAGCAGATATCACGAGAGAATTTCCCAAGGACACACTGGCTCGTGGTGGTGGAGGGGTGGTAGAAAACGTCTGCTGAGCAGTGCATACCTTAACATTAGACAACTCACTGAGCAAAGCTCCACCTTCCAGGAATTCATAAGCAGGGATTAAAGTATCTCTGTCGGTGCCACCACTGGTCTGCCATTTGCTGGTAGCGATAGTGGCAGTAAAGACCCCAGGCAAGGAAACACCTGTTGTCCTCCCTACAGCCAGACAGCATGGAACTCTAAATGCATGTTCATATATAGTATTTCTCCAATGAACCTTTGCGGAAATAATTCTCTTTTATCTCAGTATAGCTTTTGTAGATTTGGCAATTAAAAAGTATTATTTAAGCACACGAAGGGAAACATAGATATTTTAGTAGCTTTTAGCAAAATGTCATTGTCTTTGTTAAGTACAGTAATATGTGAAAAAAATGCTCCAGTTTTATGAAGACTGCTGTTCTATTGTACAGAAATAATGATTTTAACTGGTACAGAATAACCAGAAGAAAATTAACACAAGGAGAGATTGTAAAGTATACAGCAGACAAAAAATTCATATGTAAGTACTAAAACAAAGTAATATAAGTTTACAGTATGTGATATTCTACATTTCTTCAACTACAGAACCAGGTGAATGAATTTATTTCAGTTTAATGTTTTATTTAAAACTGTTTCTAGCTTCTAGGCACTCAAACTGTGTCCCACAAAGAGACAACAGCTACAAAAAGAAAATAAACTTTCATTATCAAATAGCAGTACTTTTCTCTAATTTGTTAACAGATCAAATCAGTTCATTTTTCAGTCTGTTCTTTGTTTTTCTTGGAATACAGGCTGAGGGACCTGAAGGGCAATCAAAATTACATTTTACAAAGAATAACATTTCATAAATATTTGAACTAATGTGCTCTAATATCTAAATGAGTTAAGAAAAATGCAAGTACTCATTAAAGCAAAAAAAGTAATTGCAGTTTAAAATTTTACCGTTATCAAAGGTAATATTTAAGAGAAAACTGTTCAAAATCTAGAACAATGTCCTGGTTCTCAAATATTTACTTTTAATCAAAACTGCACATAAGATTTATAACTTGGATTTCTGCATGTCATCCTTTAAAAAGTTCCATAAAACTTCACTCAGACTTGCCTATTTGTATTTCTGGTACCGGGATCTCTATATTTCCCATCAAATCAGATTAGAGCTAAGAGTCTCCAGCAGGAATATTTTTCACTTGCACAAAAGACAAATGTTGCTCTAAGGAAAAAAAATAGTACTCAGACTTTATCGCAAAAGCAACAACCACCCAAAGACCTACGATATGTCAATTAGGTCTAAATGTAGTGCTTTGGATCTCAAAGAGCAAGGAAATGGTATTCCCAAGATGTAACAAAAATTGGCAAAATATACAAAATACTTAGCCTGTCACAAAGAAATGGTGGTCCTTCAAAACATACATGAAATGAATCACACCGCCTGCACCGACTCAGGGCCCACACTGCTTTAATTTTTTTGCAGGCTTGGCCTGCCATGGCCTGCAGAGCACAGACCTCCACAGGAAGCCTGGGAATGATTTCTCTCTTTTCTCCAGCTCTTGATGAAATTATTCCCATATTAAGGTTCTAATAAAGCAGAAAGAGTGGAAAAGGGTGAGTGAGTACCCAGCTTAGTTTGTAGCATTAGTTAACACTCCTCACCCAAATAGCTGAGCCCTGTGTCTCTGGGTGAGGAGGTCAAAGCTGGCTTGGCTCCAATGGCTACGTTGAGAAGCTCCCACCAACAATGCAGGCCGATTGCCTTCCGAGAGGTCACGTGTTGGCAGCGACAGTTATTTCCCATGCCCCAGGGAGGCCACTCAGTAAAGGCCTGGCTGGTTCTTTCTCTAGACAAAGTTCTTACAGGATGGATCTCCAAAAGCTGGTTTCTATTTCTTCTGCCGATTCAGTTTCTTATTCAAAATCAGATCAGTGTAACCTTGTTTGACTCTGGCACCTCTATCTGGGATTATCGGAAAGGAAAAACCAAAATAAGATGGAAACAGGATGCTGGAGCAGCCCAGCTGGTGTAAGACAGATGTACACTTGTGTTCTCTAGATTGCACTTGGGCTCTACTTTTGTTGCTCCTGTATTTCAAGCCCTTGCAAGGACGGCCTCGAGCTGAGTTTGGGGTAAGGAGAAGACAACTGTCACGTGGACCGCAGCTCTGACGCAGTGGCAGATGCTCACTAGCGCTCCATGCCACCTACAGCAGCGCCGCAGCCTCGGACGAGGCTTTGAAACAACGCGTTGTAAGTGACTCTACAGCAAGGGAACTGAGCTTCCACACACACCGCGGAGAGACGGTTTTAGCAACTTTTCTACCCAGGTGACTCATTTTGCTGTTTCCCTCTCATGCTAGGAACGGATCAAGCCATCACTCATTCATACAGTGCCTTTAAAAAGGAGCTCGACCAGCTTCACAGCAGCGAATCAGTCGTTCCCGCAAGGCCCTGGTGAGGTGCACTCGTTAAACTGAAACCCTGATGTCGAAACTAAACCCTGACGTCACCCGGGATCAGGGCAGGGCAAGGCCCTGTGGCGCTTCACCTCGCTCCTGTCCCAGGGCTGCGCTTACCAGGCAGTCTCGCTGCACGATGCCAACAACTGGCATTCAGGCTTACAAGGTGACACAACATACTGAGGTGAAAATCGCTTTTACGAATTTAGTTTGTCGAGAAACTAGCAGATGAGCTGCCTTACTTAAAATGTTAGGAATAACTACTCTACATGCTGTTTTGAAAACTACAGCTTATCTCAGATGTTTACATTGCACCATTCTCCTCTGATCACCTACGGCAGACAATGTTAGCCCCAGACCGGCAAGCTGAAGCAAGCTGACATTTTATGGGGCGCAAGTCTGCTCCTGTTGCTAAAACACAAACAGGAGCAACATGGGACAGGTCTAATTAAAACATACTGAAGCAGGTGTTTGCGTCCTGAAAAAAAATGCTGGGAAGGTTTCCCACAGAAAACTTATTATCGACAGAGATTAGAGATTGTGAGCACCATTTAAAGAAAGAAAAAAACTGTAGGAAAAAGAAAGGAAAGGAGGGAAGGAGGGAGGAAGGAAGAAGAGAGGGGAGGAGAGAAGAAAGGGAACAGGGAAAGAGGGGAACAGGGAGGCAAGGGAAAGTGGGGGAAAGGCAAAAGCAAGCCCTGCGTATAAACGTGCCCACCCTAAGGACCCTGACCCAGCTCCACGTCTCACAGGCAGGAGGGACAGACACCTCGTCAGCAGAGGGAGGACTCTTTGCAACAAGGTTACAAGTGTTTCTTAACATGTCCTGTAAAATCATTTGCATCAGAGTTGCCGGATCTCTAGGGATACCCCTTAAAAATGGAGATTCACTATCTCTGGGGGTGGAGTATTGCTGCATTTTTAACCAGCACACTCATATTTTAAAAACACTGACTTAGGGAAAGGGAAAAATAAAATAAAATAAAAGCAGTCTTTCCCTTCCCATCCCCCTCCCACTTCTTCTGACATAGAGAAAATGAGGTAGCGAGGGGTGCAGGTGTCCCGTCCCAGGCTTTTGAAGGAGGTGGGTGGTAGGGGTGGCATCCCCCAGTGAGAGGTCAGCATCCTGTGCCCACTGCTGTGACCTCTGGAGGAGAACACAGACCCACCAGGAAGGCACAGCCTGAGCCAGCCCAGGAGGAGAACTACATGGGCCCGGGAGGTCGAGGGTCATGCTACAGAATGGAAGGCCTGTGCTCTTTACGGATGTCAAAGACATAAAGGCGGAGAAAGACTAAACAATGTTCCATCTTGAGGGAGACTGATGAGACATGTCGACTAAATGTAGTACTGTTGCTGGATGGCGTCCTGGACCAGGAAAGAGAAAGAGACACCCTTGGAACAGGTGAGGAAGTAGCGGTGGGGTCTGCGGCTAGGATGGTTGTGTTGTATCGATGTTGATTTGCTGATTGAAGGGGGGAAGGAGCAGATGTGGTAAAAATGCTAAAAATTGAGAAATCTGGGTCCAGGCAATGTGGGAGTTCTCTGTGCTGTTCTACCACTTTCCTACAGGCCTGAAACCATTGTAAAATCTAAATAATTTAAAAGGCAAAAAAGTTGATTCTGTTTTACTGAAGATCCTTTCAGTTCATCCAGTTCATATTATTGTCTCCCTGAATCTATAGCTCAGTTGCAAACACGTCCTGAGGCTAAAATTGTGGTTTAAGACCTCAGCCTGGGAGGTGGTTTACTTCTCATCAAATTACTTTGAATTATTAGTACCAGTGTTAATCAAATGAAACTACATCACAGGTAAACATAAGCTCCTAGGTCAATACGCCCCATTTTTATAGAATGTAGTGGTAACAGTTAGAGATTCTGTATTTAACTAAAAGTGCCCAGGGCAACGGGCAGGCTGAACCGGCCAGCTCGGCTGGACAACAACACTGGTCAGGTCAAGGTGATTCCGATGTAAGTCATGCACAAACAGAGACTGTAACCCAGCTCCTGCCAATCACCTTGCGAACGAAGGCTATTCAATTCTATCTTGGCCGGGCAAGGGCATGCAGACGGCTGGCTGCGAGCCCACCACTGCAATTGAAGTGCACTCCCGAGTGAAGGATTCATGCTGATGAGTGAAGACTTCATTACATGAGTGAGTGACAGGGCCATTCACTTTCTACATTACAGGTCAAAATTATACAATGTATAGAGGTAGCACACTAGAGGAAAGAACCTGATGATTTTTAGAACTCACATAATCCTCATGAATCAATGTCATAAAAAATTACAAACTTGTTCAACTTTCAGTTTTACTATAAAAAGGGTATCGCTTATTTAAACAGTTTCTAATAAACTAGATGACCAAATTAGTTATAAGAAAACACTGGATGCAAAATTAAGAAACATAACACGGAGTTGACTATTTTTTAATTCTATGAGCAACATGAAATGATGCTTTAAAAATGGGAGTGGGGTGTTGTTATGCAAAAAGGTGACTAGAGGAACCACAATTAAATATCAGCTTTCATGGGAAGAAGGACTGCCCACATTCTGAAGCAAATATACAGTCACGCATCACTTTAACGTCAGGAACGTGTTCTGAGAAATGTGCCATTAGGTGATTTTCTCAGTGTGTGAACATCATAGAACATACTCACACAAACCTAGATGGTAGAAGAAACTACTACACACCTAGGCTATATAGTCTAGCCTTATTGCTCCTAGGCTATAAACCTCATAACATGTTACTGTACCGAATACTGTAGGCAACCGTAACACACCGGTAAGCATTTGTGTATCTAAACATAGGAACAGGTATAGTAAAAACATGGTATTATAATCTTACAGGACCACTGTTGTATATGTCTGTCACTGACCAAAACGTATGACTACAGTAGCAAATCACGTGTCCATTTAATTCACTCATGGGTCAAGAGACCCATGCCCAAAGACGTGAGAGTGACAGCTGGGCAATGAAGCACAGCAGGAACTGTCAGAATGACATGCAAATGGCCAATGTCTTCCCAAAAACTTTGACAAGTCTAGATGTGATCAAGATTTAGATTTGAATAGAGCAAGCATTTATTAAATGTCTACTCTGTGCCCAGTACTCTGCTAGGTGCTTTGAAACATTTTCTTCTGGAAGCCGCACAACAATCTTTCTCATTTACACAGAATATTATAGGCATAGATGCTTCCTGTAAAGGGGGGGGGACCATGTAGAAAAAAGCAAGTGCACAGAATCCCTCTCCAGCCCCATTGTGCCTCCAGGACTGTAATCATTATCATAAAGGCAGGCTGGTTCCAAGGGCCAGATAAACAACACACAGGCAAGGGAGGCACTCAACAACCTAGACAACCTATCTGTAGCTGTTGTCATCACTGGTTCCAAAGGCCCAGTGAGCAAGGCACAGGCAAAGTGGCACTCGTCAACCTGTCTAAAGTGTGGTCCTCACGCAGCTACCACTGTAGTAGGGCTCAGAGGCAGCAGAGAGGTGACAGAGGACATGGAGCCAGCCTGCCTGGGCTCACATCCCACTCCACTAGCTGCTGACCTGTGAGATTTCTGTGCCTTGATTTCTTCATTTGTAACCGGGGATAGTAACAGTACTTGCCTCAGAGTTGTTGAGCATTAAATAAATCATCACATAATGTTACAATAAAGCCTGGCACAGAATAAAGTAGCAGAAAATTAAACAGGAACGCATTCAGTAAATAATGTAATATGCCCTAAATTAACAAAGAAAACCTTACACTTAGATGTTTAAAATAGACAGCAAGTAGCTTTACATACCCACAAAAAAGGTAAACCTTGCAATCTAGACCATCTATTCTAAGAAGTTCCACTCTGGAAGATTGAGTTGGACTAGACTGAATAGCACAAAAAATACGTATTTCTTAAATACATGCAGACAAGAAGGTCAGACTTTCACTTATTTTAGCAGACGAAAATACAAGCACCCTAAAGGAAATCCACAGATGTCTCGGGGCCATGGAAAGCCGCCAGCTGCGCACCACCCTGCGTCACTTACTGTCCACACACGCTGGGGTTCAAATAGCAAGCAACTAAACCGCAGTTTAACTTGAAATCAATACGCTTTTTATGGCTAGCCAGAACTTCAATTTTTCCAGCTTTTGGTGCTATGATGTGAAAGCAACGCTGCCTCGCAATTTTAAGTAAAACTGGCCACTTACCTCAGAATAAGCCAGAGTGATATGTTCGTATATTCCCTGGTGGTGATGGATGGCATCTTCTAGATCCTGCAGCTCTGAGGGAAGGTCTACCTCACCGCAGGCTTTACACCACGAATCCACATTGCTCATATACTTGGAAGGTTAAAAAAAAGATTGTTTCTATCAATGACAATTTATTTTGAGAAGCGGATATTTTTTAACATGGTTTTGAAAACTAGGGTAGTTGAGGGAGCTTCTAAGAATGTAGCAGGGCCTAATCTCCACCTCAAATGGTTTTAATGTGAGCTCTCAAACCTGATTCCTGGACTCCACCCCCCCAGAGAGTGGGTTCTGGCAGGACTGGGGTGGGGCCCAGGAACCTGCATTTTAAACGAATGCCTCCGCTGACCGCTGCCCAGGTTCGGGCATGCCCCTGCAGCAGTAAGATCCTGCAGGGTCTGCCTGTGGCATCCTCGTGAATCTTTATTTGCACTCTCCCTGCCCAGCAATCCTCAGCCTCAAGAGCAGATGCAGCTTCCCTGTGGAGCTGTTTTCCAGCCTTACTTCTTTCCTCTGATGCTAAAATGCTAATGAAAAAGTCTAGGGTATCTAAAATCATTTGCCTAACACTAGGAAGGGCAGCCAGCCCATTCTGCTACCCTTTCAAAAGGAAATTAACACTGGAATTGAAAGGAGACCAAGTAAAGGGAGCCTAAACTTCTCCACTGTGAATCTCAGGAAACGCTTAGGGAGGCAGTGGAATCATACAGGTCTTTCCCAATTTTCCAGTGAACAAGAAAAGTCTGAGCCTCACTGACAGTCCAGGCTGCTGACAGCCAGTCTTCTCCACCACCACCCACATCTCCAAGATTCATCGATAGCTGATCAATCACTGCCAAATTTCCTAGGGAGAGCCTATCGGCATCCATCACAGTTAAGTGTCAAAGGCAAGTGCAGAAAGCCCAATTTAAAAAGCTAATTGAATTAAGCCAAACAGACATCAACAGATTTCCCTGGGTTTTAACCTCTTTTATTCCAGTTCCTTGCATGTCTTTATACTTAGCAGGGAGTGCAGAGGATGGCTATTTAAAATGTAGTAACCGCCCAGAAATGAAATGCACTATAATTCTCCTAAAATATAGTGAGAATAACCTCCCAGTTACTTACAGCATTTTTAGGACCCTAAAATAGACAAGTCACCCAAATAATAATTATTGGCTAGGTGAGGTGGCTTGCACCTGTAATCCTAGCACTCTGGGAGGCCAAGGAGGGATGATCGCTTGAGCTCAGGAGTCCGGGACCAGCCTGAGCAAGAACGAGACCCCGTCTCTACTAAAAATAGAAAGAAATTAGCTGGGCGTGATGGTGCCTGCCTGTAGTCCCAGCTACTAGGGAGGCGGAGGTGGGAGGATCGCCTGAGCCCAAGAGTTTGAGGTTGCTGTGAGCTAGGCTGACGCCATGGCACTCTAGCCCAGGTGACAGAGCGAGACTCTTTTGTCTCAAAAAAATGTATTAATAATAATAATAATAATGATAGTTGTTTATGAAAATTCCTTTATTATTAATGTATTTATTAGCTCAGAAAAATATCTGCATGAAAATCTTAGGGCTTGAAACCAATTCATATGACATTAAGTGTCACCTGATAGCAGGTGGTTTCTAAGTATTTCTTGGGTGGAGTGTTTTATAAATGTCAATTAGGTTAGGTTTGATGATTCTAAGTATTTTTGAACTCTACTTCACTCTATTTCTTCCATTGCTGCTTTTAATATCCATCATTAAATTATTATAAACCTTTTTCAAATACAAATTGAGTTTAACTATCACCATTAATAAATCATCAGGTCCAAGTGAACAATTAATTGCTCTACTACAAAATATTCAAAACAAAGAGTTACAACATATTTTTAAGAAAAGGTCAAAATGCTTCTGACAGAACAAGATGAAAACAAATTTTAGTTATATTTCACAATTTAATAAGCAGTGTCAGACTAATATATTTCTGTATCAGAATCACTGTTAAATATATTCAATTCCAATTTTTAAAACAAACAATAAAAAAAAATTCAAGAAGCTTTATATAGTCCCATAATTAGAAGTAACTTATAATTTCTTAAAGTATCCTGAGAGGGCATTGATAATACTTATCTGAAAAAGTACAGCCAGGTTCTAAATACCTAGGGAAGGATGGTTTGCCACATGGGAATCTTGTAGAAAAGGGATTCTTTTTCTGGGTTACCGCAGCCCAATAAGAGAAATAGTCCTGGCCATGGTTTAGCAGGGAGTTCTGCACGAGCATCATTTTTCTGTCCTTTATTTCTAAGTCGGCAACCCTGGACTTCAAAGGGCAACTTCTAGGTCTTGGCTGCTTTCTGAAAGGCTGAACACCTAAGTGTCTGAACCCAGTGCCACCTGCAGAGCAATTCCCATTTAGAGATCCAAGGAAGAGGGTGTTGACAGTTACTTCACAAATAAAAGTATCCAGAGGTCAAGTTTGGTGTCAAAATTCAACAGGTCCCCATAAACAGAACCTCTTTAAGCCTTTTAATATGATAATGAGCACTGTGAATGAGGGTGGGGGCTGGTAAGTTGGTTCGCAAACTTGCCTGACCACTCTACTATACATCGCCCCCTAAACACACACACACACCCCTACTACCGCCTTGAGAAACCCAGGTGCAGATGGCAACACCTGGGGAACACTCTAGCACGGAGCCTGACACTTAGGAGACAATGACAGAAGGTGGCTCTGTAGTCTAATGAGACCAGAGCAGCCGGCCCAGGATCTGATGCTGTCAGTGCTCAGTAGATCAAAATATGTGAACATACAGCATCTGGCAGACGGGGGGCAAAGACAGGACAGCACAGGAGCATTAAACGCTGCTCCACGAATTCAGATCAGGAGCCTGCTTCAGGACTAGGGATTTGGATACTGAGCAGAATGGTGAATTTTTTAAAGTATTACTGAATGGAAGAAGATGAAAGAAGTCTGGGCCAGCCAGTTTGCAAAACAGAGGCAAGCAGATGAGGGAAGAGTGATATATACAGCCTTAAGAGAAGAACCTGAATAATTAATTAGCACTTTCCTGTAAGCATTTATTCCACAACTCTCTATCTGCTGAGAGGGGCCCCAACCTGGCTCCCGCCATCCAGAGTAAGCGGGGGTCCTCCTGGCTAGTGAACTTTAGTCCCGCCCATCTCTCGCCCACTGCCTCTGATGTAGCCTCAGCTGAGCACAGGTGCTCAGCCCGATTTAGGAGACCAAGAAACTGAAACTTCCTAGAATGAGAGGTTTCATCTCTAAGTCGTGTTTATAGTCAACGTTATTTCTAAAATTGTTATGGAAAGTGAAATTTTATAAGACTATTAATGGAAGTGCTAGTCTGTTATTAAGAACTGACTTAGCCATAGACCTCAATTCAAGTTCCAGCTTTGGGAACATGGGCAAATTGCTCCCAAAAAAGGATCATCGGGACAATAACACCACCAGCCCCATCGACTATATTGGGCTGATTTAGGATGAAATGAGATTTCCTGTTACATAGCTCTGTAAATGTTAAGGAACTCTGCAAATATTGGTTGTCACTTTGTTTTTGGCTCTTATCAAAGTGCAGAAGCCATTAAAGTCACAGACAAAATAAGGTGATCAGGTTGATGCTTCGCTCTGAAGGTTGGCCTCTGTCAGCACAGATGGGCTGTTCCACGGCGATGGAACATGGATCTGCACCGATGCAGCAGCCTCTGGCCACACGCTGCTGCTGAGCACGTGAAATGTGGATACTATGAGTAAGCAACTGAATTTTAATTTAACTCCATTTAAAAAATTAGTTTATCTTATCAGTTAATTTGATGTCACTTTAAGTAGCTTCAACAGCCACATGTGGTGACTGGCTACCACGCCGGGCAGTGTGCTAGGTCACAGAAAAAGGAGATTTTAAGGTGTGGTAAAATCAAGTCACTTTAATTGTTTTATAAAAATGTGATTCTAATAATATTTGCTATGGAAGCTTCTTACTATAAAGGACTGTCCTGTGGATATACCACCTGACCAAGAAAAGTGGAGACTGGAGCCCCTAAACAACCTCTACTGGTAAATTCACTAACATGCAGTTGTGCGTCCCACATTCACTGGAGAAGAGGACAGGAGACAGAACGCCAGAGACAGCTCTGGAAGGCATAACATCTGTGAGACGTCATTCTCATCTAGCATTAACTTCCAGACTTATGTTTATAAAGCCGTAAGCAAATACCAACACCAGAGCACCCATGGCGACAGAGGGCCGGGCCGCTGAGCTGAGAGCTGTGGTCCTCACAGAGAAGGCTGCCCCTTCAGGGAGGCCGCTCACCATGGCGTCACATATCTGCATCCTGTGTCCCCCCAACCAGACTTAAATTCCTCATAAAAACACTGGGTGGGGAGTAAAGAAGTGGCTAAGATGGAAACCTAACTTATCACATTCAGGTTTCTGGTCTTTCAGACTGAGTTATGAAAACAACTTAAGCATAACTGGAAGGCCAAGGACTTAAAAAGGGGGAACAACGTTGACCTCTTCCTGGGATGGGTCTCCCAGGAAAAAGAAACTACATTAGTAGATGTGAACTTCTTCCATGCGTCAGCATTTCAAAGATCTTACTGCTGTTCAGGGAAGGGGAAGAGACACCATACGTTTCCACTTGCGAGTAAGGAAACCCTTTCTGAAGACGTCCTAATGTCCCATCTGCACAGTTCAGCCGTCTCGGTGCAGGCCTCGTGGCTTCATCAAGGTCCAGAACACACGCTGGGCCCCTTCTTCATTCAGCTACTCTGCCCTAAGCTTGGATTTGGCTTTTCCTCTCTGTTCAATAATATATTCATCTAGTGTAGTTTCCTTCAAACCCATCAATTACACCCACTCATTTTTACCCAAATGAAAATGCCTGAAGCTTTTTCAACTTTGCTGCACATTTGAAATTTTTGCTAAAACATGGAGGCGGGGGGAATATATGCCCCATGGCACCCACATTTCTAGATTATTTTCCAGCAGGTCAGAACAGCAATTAATTTCCTGGGTTTATTTACAATTCTGAATCCCACCATGTTCACGAAAGAGATTTTCTCTTTGTGTTATGCTTCAGCCTATCTGCATTCACCCAAGCAGCTTGTCCTGCTTCGGATTTATTCACATTATCTTAATGTCAGATGATCAAGTGTGTTGCCACTTTGTACAATAAGGATCAGAGGTGGCCACAGGGTCATGAAGACTGTTCTATTTTATGCTGAAGGAAGTTCCTGTTATTTTAAAGAATTTTGTTTGTGTGTGGGCTTTTGTCTATCTTTTATCATAAAATTATTAATAGTTAAATGCATGAGGTTAGACAGTAGAAAAATCCTTACCATTGAAACCCGAAAGTCCCCACTCACAGCTTTTACATGATGCCAACAAGATTTTTTTTCTCTTTATATTACACTGAGTTTCCTCTTGCTGTACACTTAAAGGCTTCTGGAGTTGAGATCATTGCTAATTAGCGTCTTGTGCAACACTCTGGCTGCCTTGCCAACATCCTAGGCAAGCTGGAGCCTCCATCTTACCTTTATTGACTTCTTCACTCCAACAGACTGTTTCTAAATTAAAGAGATACTATTTCCTTCTTAGATATGCCAGTGCAAATCTCCATGAATCCAGTTTTCCCCCAACATTAACCCTGAGAAAGTTATATCAATATTTTGCCTTTTAAATTAAGCAACTCTTACCCATATATATGTCTTCCTAGTGGCTCAAAGCACCTGTGCTTTTCCTCCGCATCTTGAAAAGATATTCGCTGAGCAGCACGCCTTCCACTAATAGTGTCAGTCACGTGCAAATCCCTTTCATTCTGTCACTTTCAGAGTGTGTTTATTTAAACAGGTTTGCTTGAGTGGAATGCGTGGAGTGTTAGGGCCAATATTCCCCATTACCTCTTTTTCTTTTTCTTTTTTTTTTGTGGTTCTATTAGAACTTTTTTTATCAATCTGGCAGACCAGATTTGATACAACGGAAGCAGTTAACACACCCCTACTTTAGAAAAACTGAGTCTACACCCTTCAGTTACAAGATTTATCTGTATTGTTTTTTAAAATTACTATGGGTACATAATAGTCGTACATCTTTCTAGGGTACATGCGATGTTTTGATACGGCATACAATATGAATTAATCAAATTAGGGTAACTAGGGTATCCACCTCGGGCAGTTAACATTTCTTTGTGTTAGGAACAACATTCCATTTCCACTCTTTTAGTTAAAGTATATCCTAACTTACTGTTGATTATAGTCACTTTGTTGTGCTATCAAATATTTTTCATTCTATCTATCCAATGCCTCTTAAGAAATTTTAAAAGCGTACATCAGCAAATGAAGCCAAAGTCAAGTCAGAATCCATGTATATAATTTCATAATGTGAAATACACTGTAAACTGCCCACCGAAAGCCATTTTTCCATCCTTGTACTTGCTGGCAGAGCCTCCCTAAGGAGGCTGAAAACTAGATCTGCCCTGTCCCCCACCCTTGCAGCCGGGCATGAGCGTGAACCCCAATCCTGGCCAACGGGAACTGAGGAGAAGTGTGCTGCGGGTGAAGGAGCCTTCTGGAACAGTGTTTCCACTATAAAGTGACAGGTGGAGACAGCTGCTGCCAACCCTGCCTCCCTGCCCTGCCCAGGGTGGACACTGCCACTGAGGAGCTGCTGCTCGGAGCTGGGGCCTGCACCTTGCACCTTCTCCTTTCATGAGAAAAGCAAACCGCTGATGTTTAAACTACCGGTAGGCATTGTTACTTGCTGCCAAAGCATCCTAACTGGAATAAAAAGGTAACAAGGAGGCAGAGGAGAGGAGGGGGAGAGGAAGGAGGGGAAACAGAACAGCAGCTACTACTTATGAATATTTATTATATACCACTGTGTAGGGCACCTAATATAATTTACCACATTGATGTGATAAAACAATCCACCCAAGCATATACTTTCATTTCACTTTAGAAATGAGAAAACTGAAGACAGAGAGGTTAAATAATTTGTCTAAGGTTGTATAGCAAGGACTAAGAAAACTGGAATTTAAACTCAGGGCTGAGTGACTTCAGAGCTCACCGTGCGTGCTATGCTACAGTCCTCCGAGGGTTTGGCATACTTGTCAAGATTACTGGAGGAGAAAATATTCTGGCAATGTTACCACCTGATGGGCTGGGGGTGGAGGCACTGACCTTCTCAGCCTTCTGGTGGAAAATGGAGGACATGTCCAGCAGGGTGCTCCGTTCGTCCAGGGCTGCTGCGAACGCCTTCCACTCCTGCTCCAGCTGATTGGCGACCTGCTTGATCTGCTGCGAGGCATAGTGGCCAGATTCCACCAAGCGATTCGCCACAGACATGATGCGGTTTATGTTCACGTACACGTTCTGCAAGGTCAGGACGAGAGGGCTCCTTAGGGGAAGGCAGGCCAAGAGGCTCCCTTCTAACAACCCCACAGAGCACTTGCTGAAACACGGCCTACTACAAGTTATCGTACTTTTAACAGGAGGATCACCTGGTCTATAATATTACACATATTTTCTCTCTGGATTTCCATACACTCAAAGTATTGGTTTCAATTTCTATTTCTGAAACTGTAAAATTACCAATCAACTAGCTGAACGGCATAATTATGAGGCACAAAGCAATCAAATACACAAGTGGGTGCACACAAATACACTATTACTCACTCCTTGGCTCCCGGCACTGAGAAGGGTCCAGATGGCAGGCCTCCTGACAAGCAGCCACGCAGAACCGAAGGAACCTAACGTTTCAGTTTTTAACTAGAACCCAGAAACTAAAAAATATGTACTTAGCAACCGAAGGCTATTTGTGTGAAAACAAGCTCTCCTTTCTACATAAGCCCAAGTCATCTTTTGGTGCCAACAGAAAATATTCTGTAAATGGATCCGCTTTCTCCCAGGAATATGAATTGAGGTAGAAACACAACAATGCTATGTTCAAATTTTAAATAAAGCCTTTCTACTCTGTCGAAACTCCTGTCTTCAAGCCCACTAGTTTACTGCGAAAAATAAGGATGCACAGCTTTTAAATAAAAAAAAAATCCACTGCTTTTTGCAAAACAAGTTCTCACTATGGAGTTTCCCTTTCCACCTCCAATCTTTAAGGTTCAGTACACACTGGGAGGAGGGGGCTGCAAACCTCCAACAAATCCCAAGTTGTTATTCTTCACGTATTTATTATTTTTGTAACACTTTCACCCATCGCTGCTCTGTAGGTCCCCCAATCTGACTAACCAATCTGCCAAGGTCCCGTACATGACCTTTCTGCCTTCCCTTCCCCTCTGAGCCAACCTCCGGCTGCTTTGCACATGGCCCCCTGCGACAGCCTTCTTGCCGACCCCTGGGTGCCTGCAGTCCATTCTTCCCTCGTACCTTCTTTTATTGATCCTTCTCCTCTATTTCTGATCCAAACCAGTACTTGGCTAGTCACCCCCATCTGGGATTATAGAGCCACAGGACTCTAGCCTTGGCGTTACTCTTCTGAGCTGTTTTTGCAGGCTAGATCAGCTAATAGCCATCGTGTGTGTCAAGCAGCAAGAAGAGGCTGTGACAGTCAGGCCACACTCAGTGGGGATAATCTCCCTGGCTTGAGTGGCTCCAACTGGCGTCCTTCAAGTTAAAATGAAGTCCTTCCTGTTCTCACATTCATTCTTTCTCTCTGTCCCTCCCCCCTAGTAAAGTGAGAGGTGACCAGATTCACTAATTTTGCTTTCTCTGTATCCTTACGGAGGAAATGCCAATCCATAAGGTCTGTTCGGAAGAGAACAAGAAGATGCCCTCTGTTAGGATCTGAAGAAGGATTATCCCTTTGGATGGCTCTATTGTAGGTGCCACTGATCCTACTCATTCATACTTGTTAGTTTCCTGTGTTACCTTTATATCCCAGAGAGACTGTATCAGTCTATGTATTACACTTTTCCCATCTCTCCATCACTTAACAACATACGTAATCGTGCATGGTGGCACACAGCCTAAATATGTAACCTGTACACACACATGGCAATGTGCAATTCCCTCACTTAAAAGTATCTACATCTAGATTCTGATCATCATAGGTCTCATAAATGTGTTATAGTAGAAGGAGCACAACTGTTGGTATCCCTTAATATACTTTAAAGACTGTTAACTTTGCATATTCAATATTTTTGTCTTGTCAAAAATTGTTCAAAACATTGCAGACAGCAGGAGAAGGGGCTGACAGTTAACAGTCCTTGTTCTGCATAAATAAATGCCACGATGGATACAAAAGCGTTCAGCACAGGGACAGGACGGTGTGGAAAGCTCCCTAGTCGTCACCACGAGTGTGGTACTGAGCTACCACACTAACTTTAACGAAAATTGCAACTCAGAAAAGCACTGTGTATTGTAGAAAATAAGAAAATATATTTAAACCTAAAAAAAAAAAAAAAATAGACATAACCCATACCTTTAGGTTTCTTACCTGCTTTAACTTTATTTTGAATTATACTGATAACATCACTGGTAATAATTACCATTTATCGAGACCTTCCTATGTGTCAAGCTCTATGTTTAGTGTTTTACATATACAGAGAAAATAAAATAATGTAATACCATGGAAGGCAGCTATTATCTCCACTTTACAAATTAGGAAACTGAGGCTCCAGGAGATTAAACAGCTTGCCCAAGGTCACACGGTAAATGGAAGAGTCAATTAAAAACGTCTCAATCCATAATCCACTTTCCTGTCTTCCACATTATGCCTCCTGCTCTCTTGATTCTTAAATCTGCCACTAATAATACTGAGGAGGAAGGGAAGACAGAATATATTTTTCTATTCATTTCTAGACTATATTTTAGTATTTCTAGTGGATTGAAGGTATCTTTTGTCACTGGTTGAAGTTTCAGAAGATTTTGAAAAGTTCACAGTAATTTTTTAGAAAGAAATTTCTATCTGTGCCCACATGATTTAAACCAGAATTCTCTCACCTCCAACTCTAGAACAGATATAAAACATTTTTGATGGCATTTATTACAAAAATTTATATTGCCAAATCTTTTCTTTGAAATGACCTAAATTATAGAACCTAGTTGACCAAACTTTAATTAAATGGCATCTTACTGAATTAATTTAAACAAGATCCTGTCTTCATATTGCGTTAGTGCTCTGTGACAAATGTTCCAAAGTTTAAGAGTGGCTAATTCTCACAAGGCTGGCTTAAAGTCCAAGCCAAAACTTCTTGTCCCTGAAGAGGAGATTTCTAGAAGCTTAGCAGTCAACAGAAGTACATATCCTACAGAAACGTAAGTTTTATTCTGGTTACATTAATGATAAAATTGTAACAAAAGTGCTATTCAGAATTCTGGTTTTTTGTTTGTTTTTGGTTTTTTGTGATGTAGTCCTACGGTGACCCCTATCTGGCCTCCAGGATTCTGAGGGAGTCACAACAGCCCAAGGACATAAAATGCAAGGACCTCAGAGAGCCAGGGGACTCAGGCAAGCCTGAAGGCCACACCTCAGACCTCCAGTTCAACCTGAAAGGACATCTCACGTTTTAGGACAAGTGGAGGATGCCCTTGAGTAAGCAGCACGCTGGCTTCTTTCATCCTCATCAACAGCGGCCAGCCCACTGACAGCAGCCTGGTCAGGAGACTCACTGTGCCTCAGAGAAGCTTTTCTGGAGCCCCCGTGGGCTCCTCTGAAGCAGAGCACAGGAGCTGGCATCAAAAGCGTCCATGTGAACAAGCCAAGTAACTGGTTCAAGTCTGACTGGTTGGTTGGTTTGCTTGCTTTCATTTTTGTTTGCTTAAAATTTAAAACAGGATACCTAGACCCTCTAACACTAGAGAATTCCTACATGTGGACGTTAGCTGCTACAATCAAAACAGCCCCTCGGAAGGCCCCATACTGCCTCCTCCAAGTGTGCCAGCACAGGGTCTGCTGAAACCCCTTCACGGCTAACCACTTTCACACGCCGGGGTTGTCTGTTCCGACGGGTTCTTACCATACAGTTCATGGCAAAGTGATTGTGCTGCGTCTGAAGCTCCATTGCATGAGGGTGGCTGGTCCCAATCTCTGTGTAGCTGTTTAAAAACAGGCCTTTGTTGTGTGTGATCCAGTCAAACATCTACCGGAAGGAAAAAGATAACTAGAATCACTCCAGAAAGAGAAAAGGCTGACCCAGGCCCACGGATGGGGCTGAGCCAAAGAAAGGGCAACTTCCTTCCTCTGACAACTTCTCAGGCGTTTGGACTCGGAAGAGTCTTTACTTCTAAGAATATGTCAGCAGTTCTGAACTTGCAGCATCTACTAGAAAATCTTATCTAACGTGTTCCTCTAACAGAGGAGGAATCCAGAGGCACATAAGTAAAGAGAGGTATTCAAATCCCGCAGGCTAATTAAAAACTCTGCTCTGATTCAGCCCAGCCTCCCTTCCACGCTAAACCGCTGAATTTGCCACATCACCCTTGCATTCAAGACCTGTCAGGTAAAATTAGGGACTCATGGGTCTCTGGATGGGTTTTGCTGGGTCCACAGATTACTGACAGCAATCCCAATGACTAAAAGATTACACTCTTTAATACAAGAAAAGTATACAGAAATCTGTGCAAATGCAAACAATAAAATTAACTGTAAAAATAAAAAGGATTTGGGAAAAAACTTAACAGCGACATCTCTAAGTTCAATATAAATGCTACTTTGACAAGGAAGTCAATTAAGATGCTCTCGAGGAAAACACTTAAGAAAATAGAAATGACTACCAATTAGCATTGCTATCGTGACTTGAGCCAGAATCCCAGAGACAGTAACCTGTTTTTCTAGTAATTGGAAGATTTTCTAGTTTCTTTGACAAGGCACAACAGTACACTGACAGATGTTAAGAGCTTACCAAATAAAAATACTGGATTGTCAAAAGGTCCTTTTATATCAAAGATTTCTAATGCAGTCTTTTAGTTTACAAAACACTCTCCTGTCCATGTAAAATAAACATTCAATGAGCTTCAATAAAAAAGTGATTAATTCACTCATGTTCATGGCTTGCAACACATACCTATAAATAAGTATCCTGTTTTCACACTGCTAAGATTGAATTAGCCAGTAACTGACAAGAATTCACTTTGACCAGCTGGTGTGTCTGGCGCACAAGAAAAAACATGAGACCACAGGTAATTACTGCCTGTATTCTCCGGAAACTATTACTTTTAACACATTACTCGCTTTTTATTTTAAAACCACACCCACTAATAGATCAGAATGGTGTTCTGTCACTGGCTTTGCAGGAGTGAAAGAGCAGGTATTAGCAAAACACATACACAATTATTGCTTTCAGTAACACAACACTATGGAATTTTCACTCTTCTAAGTGAAACTATCATTCCTGTCTATCTTACAGGCATTCTAGACCAAATCATCAGTAATTTTAACCCAAAATTTCTAAAATGGCACAACGAGTAAAACTGGAAAACAGGTTTAAATGTCATCTCTGAACTGATCCTCCTGGTTTATAGCAAACGCGGTGAGTATACGCTTCTCATTCACTCCCTCTTCTCCTTCCTGTCACCCGACCACATCAGCCCTGGCTGCCTAGACCCAGTGACCCAGTAGCTCCCCCGTGCCACATGCAGGCACTCATCTCCCCTCTTTACCTTCTCGGCATCCTGTTCAAACAGCCTCAGCTGAAAGCACTGGTCCAGCTTCAGCTTCCTCACGTGCCACATCTGGTGCAAGTGCTGCCGCGTGGAGTGCAGCCTGTCCAGCATGGTGGACACCTTGGGCAAGAGGTTCTGCAGGTCTGCATTGCCTGACCCCGAGTTCTTTTTGGGAAAGCTATCACTGCTCTGAATCCTCTGAAGCAGCTTCTGTCCCTCCAAATCCAAGTCCTCGATGGGGGCCTTAATCACCTTCTTCTTCAGCTGGGAGTGTTCCTCGATCATGTTCCGAGCACCCTCCAAATCCTGAGGCAACTCCTTCTTAGCTAGGATGTCCTGAAGTTCCTCCAGCCGAGACAGCATGTGTGTTGCATTGCTAATGTAGTCTTCAAAAGCAACTCTGATTTCAATCCATTCTTCGTGGTTGTATTCCAGGCAGCCATCAAACTCGGGAGTTAGCTGAGAAGGATCAACTACTTTGGTAAGGCCTTCTAAAGAGACCATATTTGTCTTAAGGGAAAAAAAATCACGTATGAGAAGACGAACCAATTTTATATAGTCTTAACATAATGCAATGGGCAATGCTTAGTCACAGGTGTTCAAAGTCAAAGTAATCTATTCATAGAAAACGTAACATACCTCATTCCGGCCCCATAAAAATAAATATGGATGAAAGAAGCATTATCAGCACAAAGAAAGATAAATCCATGAGAGCAACACATATGCTAGTTGGAATACCTAAAATTATAGAATCATGTCTATTTCATGAGAACTAAAGAAATGAGATTTCTTTCCAAGAAAGTGGAGATTAACCCACTATCTTAGGCACATTAAAGCAGGAAATATGTTAAATTGCAAGTCCAGAGCAGACAATTCAAAAATTTCATTTTCATCAATGAGTTCTTCTACCTACTCCTTCTCATCCCTGCCATTCTATCTCCTCATTCCCAACAGAAAACTCTGCAGAGGCTCCCTATTACCTGCTGTCACATTAATGTCTTGCTCACGGGCGTGCGTGTGGGCTGCTTATTAAATGATGAATGCTGCTCCAGCCAGACCACCCTCAGCATGCATCTTCCCTGCCTCGCTTCCCATCAAGCAACAGATGACAGGATACAAATGACTTTTTAAAAATTTAGAAAACATCCAAGGGTTAGCAAGAAAGCTGGCAGAGGCTTACGTCACAGAGCTAAAGACAGAGGGAACATTTCATTCATTGTAATAAGCCGCTGCGATTCTAGCAGTCTGGGTGTTGTACGTAATCTACACTGCATTCCAATTTAACAGTGACAACGCTTTAGTCGATTACAGTCTAAGGAAGAATTCTTACCCTCATCCAGAATTAGAAGCAGGTTAATATTAGTATTATGCCTCAAGGACGACATGGGGGGAGGGTGATTAAATGCAAATACAAAGGTAAAGGAACAAGAGCTGTGGCCTAGAACCAAAAGATAAAACAGAGCAGGGCTGGGTTGGCATGCTGGTTGGCATAAGAAACAGCAAAAGGCAGCACAGCTAGAAAGAGCTACAAAGAGGGGCTCTGTCTGATCCAGCACTTTGGCTTACAGTGTTACTGTAGGCCCATTCCTGTCTCATCTGCTGGACTTTTAATAACCTCCGTGGAGGCAGTCACTCCCAGAGAGAGGCTGGTAACAAGGAGGACGACAAGTTCAGTAGAAAAACTGTTAAAAGCCCAGAGGGAAACATCAAAATTAGACTGGCAAAAAGCTGCATGAACTATATTGCCAAACAATTATTTTTACTTAAAATGTGTGTGCATATGTGTGTATGTATGTGTATAATTTTTTTTTTTTTTTAAAGACAGGGTCTCAGCTCTGTCGCCCAGGCTGAAGTGAAGGGGCACAATCATAGCTCACTGGAGCATTGAACCCCTGGGCTCAAGTGACCCTCCCACCTTGGCCTCCTGAGTAGCTAGGACTATAGGCATGTGTCACCATGTTTGGCTAATTTTTTTATTTTTTGTAGAGATGGGGGTCTCGCTATGGTGACCCGGCAGGAGTACAGTGGTACAATCATAGATCACTGAAATCTCAAACTCCTGGCCTCAAGTGCCCCTCCGCCTTGGCCTCCCAAAGCACTGGGATTACAGGCAAGAGCCACTGCACTCAGCCAAACTTACATAATTAAATACAACACACTTTAAATTCTGCATCAAGAAAATAAGTAAGACCCAATAAATTGTTCTCCAAAATTACTTCTTATTGTGGCTTACTGGTTTCATCTTTCACCTAAACCTCCTGAGTATGGTCTCAAATTCAAATTAAAACTAAATTCAGATTTCAGATAGAAAAATGAGTCCTGTGGAAAGAGATTTAAAAATTTAAGTAATACACATGCGAAAATACTTTGAAAAGTATAGCATGTAACCTAAAGATTAAGTATTAATACTGTCTCATGTGTTTAATATTATCATTGCAATTTGTCCTGAAATACATGAACACATTCACTGAAACCTAATGTTTGGGTAGAGTTGCCAGAAGAAGCAATTTATTCAACCAAAAATTGTAATTTATTATTAGAAAATTAAAAATTATTTTCCAGTTTTATTCCAAAATGGGGGCATGAGTCAAGTTTCAAGCTGGCAGGAATACTCTCTTCCCATAATCATCTCATTAAACTAACTGCATCAAAAGCCTTGTCAGAACCTTGGCAGCTTAAGGAGAGGAGAGGTTACAGTGGAGAAGAGAAAAAGTTAGCAGACTGAGGTTTGTTTTATACCACTGCCTGAAAGACAACTATCTTCTGTGCCTAATTGAATTCAGGACTCTGTACAGTTTTTAATGGAACATCTCCATTTTCATAAATGACAGACCTGATACACGAAATAAATGACAGGCCATTCTCTCCATTATCCGTGACAGGATGAAACTCGGGCATCTCTGTATTTTTCCCTCAGGAACTCTAAAGTTGGGCTTCTCTTTCTAAGGTAAATGCCTCCCACCTCAGTAGCCCATCACCCAAATCCAAGAGAACTGAAACCTAACACCGCCTTGGGTAAAACCACCCACTCAGAATGCAACTTTGTTATATTTTATGCAATAACTAATTTTACATATCATGTGTATGCTAAGATATGCAGTTCTGGTTTAATACGTGGTTTTACAAATCTATTATCAGCCTGAGGGGTGAGAAAGTCAGCTTTTAATAAACCACACCAATTGGTTCAGTGGGTCTGGCTACCCCGGGGAAGTTACCTCAAATTCAAATTTAGAACTGCCAAAATTAGTCCTCTGTTTCTGCCAGAAGTTGTCTGGCTTGATGATCAGAGCCACGTGGATGCAGCAGGGGAAGGACTCCTGCAGGATCTTCAGCAGGGGCTTGATGGAGTCCCACTTGGACCCACGCATGTCCACGATCACCGTGAAGCCTCGCTTGCAGACCTCCTCGCTGCGGGGAAAGGAAAAGCAGGCTGAAATGGGATGCAACTGTATCGGCATGCAACTCCTGCCACTTTGTCTGAGCGGAGTCCCCCCAGGTGCCACAGCCCCCGCTTCCTTCATCTTGCCTGATGTGACCAGAAAGGGCTGCCCTCTCACCTGTGGAGCTCAGCTCTGTCTCACCCCTCCCTGTACCATAAAAGAATAGAACTGGACTATACGTGCATTGAGGAACAGTGACACAATGAAAGAAATCTTCACAATTTTTATTTTGTATTTAGGGTTTTGCATCCTGTCTTCTTTTCAGAAGAAAACAACGTCCATTCAGCCCACTCCTCTCACCTCTGGGTACTGGCCGATCACACACACACATCCAGTAACTCCAACAGGCAAAGGGCGCACCAAGTGGGCCCAAAACTCTGAGAGTGTACAGAGCCCAGGCCAGAGCCAGATCCAACATCTGTGGACAGCAGTTACCCCTGGACTCCCAGAATCCCAGGCACTGAAAATGACCCCCTACCAGTGTGGCTGGCAACAGTGGGAGCTTTCTAACATCCCTTTTCCCCCCTTTACCCTCTCCCTGGCCCTTAAGGTATCTCAGCGGTTCTCCAAGTATAGTTCACCATCCCTGGGAGTTCCCGGCACCCTTCTGGTGGGCTCTGTGGGGTAAATCCAGTTTCATAGTAGTATTGAGACTTTATTTGCTTTTTCCCTTGGTTGCACTGATGGTGAGAAAGCAACAGTGGGTAGCGCTGCTGGGCTTTGGCACAAATCAAGGTAGTGCTAGGAGCCACCGTGTTCTTCCTTTCCACATTCTTATAGTCAAAAAAAAAAAAAAGCCAGCTTTGTATTTTATTAAGTCTTAACCCCTGACTATGTGGGAAATACATATAATGCAAGTCTGCATCTGCAACAAAGAGTGAACAAGGGTCAAGATGTCCTCAAACATAGGTTAAAGAATACCTAGTCTCACCTGGTTATAACCGGTGACACACACAGAAGCTTCTGTCCCGGCTTCCCAGTGGCCCTACAGCTAAGGATCACTGCAGTGCTCACTGCTGCACAGCGGACTCCACCAGTCAGTGCTGGCTACTGATGCCAGCGCCAGACAATTAACCAGGCAATGCCCGCCTGCACGGTCTTCGGAAATACACCTAGGACTTCATGTGTACACAATGAGAATGTGAGGTTTTCCCCAAACGTGAACGTACTGCCAGGATGGGAAAGGCATTGGACTTTTTTCTGCCTTGGAAATCACCCCGAAAAACTAGTCTAAATTAAAAACTCAGAAAGCTAATTGCTGTCACTAAGTAATGTTAAAAAACAAAAAATTAATTCAAAATTAAAACCAACTTCATGCTCTCTCTTGCACAGGATGGTTCCCCTCCCCCTCCCCGCCACGCTCACTCACACTCACTCACACACCCCGCCTCTTCCTTATCTGATTCATGCCACCGGAGTAATAGCTTTCCAGGCCTTACAGATGCAAAGTGCAGATGACAATCAGCACATGAGGCTGTATCACATAAACTTCTGTGGCCACAGAAACCAAGCAGAGGGCAGCTCACAGAGACGCAAGGTGTTCAAAGCCATGACGAAGAGACAGACTGATCCAGCAGCCCAATTTATCACCCAGATGTTGAAAACTGCTCAGGAACGATGTGATTAACATCTGGTAACTGACTACCCCCGTATGAACAAGGAACTGGAACTGAGTTCAAATACTCCTCGTGCTGTCATTTCTGCTCCCCATCCCAAGCCACCATGGGTTACTATTCAGGTAACATCAGAGGCAGAAATGTGGTTTGTTTTCAGGCCTCTTTCACAAAACCTAGAAGCAAACAGGACTCCCAGAAATGTCTACTAAAATGTCCCAAGGAACAGAAATTAAGCATTCTGGATCTCATTGGGCTCTAATGGGACTTGCAATCCTACAAAATTCTATTCCTTAGAGACTCCAGGGCTCCGGAAGTACTGGGGAGAGCACAGCCTAAGCAGGAAGAGACGGGTGCCAGGATGCCAAGTGCTCTGCGGAGGAAGCCCACTGCCCTGCAAGGCATTCCACTCCAGATTCACATATTCTGCTCTCATACGCCAAAGACAGGAGACTATAAAACCGTAGCAATGTTTTCTTTGTTTTACTAGTTATTGTTTGGTAGACCGCACTTTGAGCATCAGTCTTCACCGTATCAAGATAAATTCCCTTGCAGCCTGTCTTTCTCCTAAGGTGGCCTTATGCAGTATGCACATAAACTACAAAGCCCCTCCACTTGAAAGAAGCTTACAAGGAATCTTGAGTAACTCCAGGCTTAACAACAGAACAAGCAGGAGAACAACAAAACCAAAAGGAACACTGAGCCTGCCTAGTTTACAGAAGGATTCTGTAAACTCCATGATCAAACTGTGACCACCCAGTGGCTTCCCAAGTAATAAAAACAGCGTATGAACTGAGCTGGGAGTGCGCGGCCTTTCAGTGCATCTGTTTTATCAGGTTCAAAGCCAGTCATCCATCATTAAGAGAACAGTGACTTGCAAACATCCCCGAACCTGGTTCCTATTTATAAGCACGTAATGAACATGTACAGTTGCCTACAGGAGAAGGGCTCCAAGCCTTTTATCTCGCAGGTACTGCTCTTTGGAAAATGTGACTCCTTAACCAGTTATTTCAGCAGTTTTTCCAAAACTGCCTCATTTTATCTGTGAGATAAAGAAAATTTACGTAATAATAAGGTCTCCTCTCAACACAGGTCTCTAAAAAAGAGAAACTGCTTTCTTTAATTCTTAGATGAAGAAAGTATCTTTCTATAAGCATGTTCATGAATGAATCTGTTAGGGCAGTCTTGAATCTCCCAATTTTCTAATAATGGCCAAAAATCAATCTTGAGCTCTCCCTACGTTTTGCTGCTAGTTTCTCTCCCAAGCTAGCAGGCAACCTGCTGGGACTCTGTTTTCACAAACGTCCAAAAAGAGCCAAAAAAAAAAAGGAAATGCAAATCTTTCTCTTTACATTTTACCAGCTCACAGCCAAATCTTTCTCTTTACATTTTACCAGCTCACAGCCCGTGGAATTTGTTTCTAGAGTCTACGGGTATTCCTGAGAAGCTCCCATACCAGACAGCAGGAGGGTAAACTCCAGGCCTTCCTTTCCTGCCAAAAACCATATCTCAGGGGCAAAAAATCAAATCCCCTGTGACAGGCCTGACTACATCTCAGAGATAACCAAGTCTCCAGGAACAGAAAAAAACAAGAAAGATGGACAACTTGACGTCTTGCGACTGCCTGCTAATTACCTCACAATTACTGTGTTTCTCTCTGTGCCCATAAAGGCAGCAAGCCACCTGGCCTGGCTGTGGGCATCTCCCTCTCTTTCTTTGGGATGCTGTGTCATGTCTCTGCTCTCCCGCCCCCCTTTTCTCTCTCATTCTCTGTCCTTCTAAAAGATAAAAAGTTTATCTTAACTTTTTATATCTGAATCTCTGTGTGAGAAATCTTTCTCCACCTGCACTGTGAACACCTACTAAGCTTTCCACCCTAACAAATCAATTAAAATTCTTCATATGATTTCATTAGCAAACAACAGAGAATAAGGGTGGTTTATCCATTTAGCAACTGTAAATCATTCTAAGAAAGGCAAAAAGTTCTAGAACATAATTAGTATAAAATATAATTCAAGCAATAACCACCTAGCAATGTCCCAAGATTAATACTATTTTCATTTCTGTGCAGGACTTCCAATGACACAAGCAGGAACTTCTGCTGTTTCCCCTACACACATTTAATGGACAATTTCACTGCAAATTAATCGCATGAACTCATCTTACTATTCCAGTTGTTTTTTAAAGGAGGGCAGGTGTGACCCAAGTAATATTAAACACTCAAAACTACCTACAGCTGCTCAGGTCAAATTTATTTTCAACTGTGAGGAACACAGAAACTCTAGAGGGCATGTGTAAGGAAACAAACAATATGATCTGCCTCTAGAAAGTGTGCCAAAAGGGAAATAACTGATGGAAAATAAAAGAGTGAATATGAAAGAAAGAAATTATTGTACTATTTCTGAGGCAGCTACCACGTGGCAAATACTGTGCTGTATGTACATAATTTTACTCAATACTCACCATGATCACAAGATGTACAGATCATTACCACATTTTGTAGATTAGAAAACTGATAAAAATAATTCAGTCACTTGTCCCAGGCCACAGCCAGTATGATTCTGAGGGCCATGCTGTCCCTTCACACGCAGGAACATGCAGCCCTGTGACTGACTGGCTGGAGGACAAATCTCAGGAGAATGTCAGGTGTAGTGGACAGAGAAAAAGTTCTCTCAGGCCCCAGAATACACACACGAGTGTAAAGCTAAGCAGAAATACCTTGTGTTTACACCACTCTGAAACTGCAACACATAATCAGACTTACAAATTATATAAAAGCAAACCGGCAAGTCCAAAAAAGTTCACACACCATTAACTTTTATGGGTGATGTTTATTGATCCCATTTTGACTAAAGCCAAACAGCCTCCTGCCATGAAGCACTGGCTAGAGGCAGTGTGCCTGCAGGAGCGAGGACGCCCTGTGTTGCCACTCCTATGTGGCAACCTGGAAATCCTTCTCCGTTATCCCTTGGCAAATGCATCACCTCTATTATTTGCTCATTAATCAAGGACAAGCTAAATGGCATTTCTTGTCACTTGGGATGGTAAATACAAAAGCAAATCTAGGCAATGGAATGAAGTGCCTGTGTTCACAGATGGAGGGTCATCCTACACCCTTAAGAATTTATGAGTGAAATGATATGATGTTTGGGATTTATTATAAAATCCAGAGGAAAAATTACAGAAAAATAACATTTACAAAATTTGATAAATGTTGAAGCTGGGTGATAGGTATATGGGTGCTTGTTATACTATTCTCTCTACTTTTGTGTATTCTCACAATTTCCCACAAGAGGTTTTTTTTCTTAAGTCATCTAGATTACCCAAAATGTACTTGAAGTGATTTTTTTATATCAATGAAATGAAAAGCATTTTTATATCAACATATTTAAAAACTAGAAAGTTGTCAAAGTTACATACAGTATTCCAATTATGTACATTTTAAAAAATCACATAAATACCGAATTCAACTTTAGGTTTTTATGAAACTATGGCAAGTATTATTTTGATTGGCAGGGATTTTTTTTTTTTTTTTTTTTTTTACATTGTCTCTTGTATTTCTCTCTTTCTTTTTCCATCATGAGCACAGACCTGGCACATACTAAGAACTCAGGAAGTGGGAGCTATAAACTATATTTATTTATAAATGATAGTAGTAAATAACCTCTAGACTTCTTTCCAACTATATGATTTCAACAGTTCAGCCATCTAAGAAAACACCAGAGTAGGAAGAAAGGGAAGACTGTTTCCATATGTATAAATAAGGCTCCTTTATTTAATCACTGATGGGACACAGTGATAGTTCTTCCCATAAAGGATACCGTAGCCAAAAACTCAAGAACTTTCTCAGCAGGTCAAACCATTAAGACCAAAAGCTGTCTTTCGTCAGCCACAGCAAGGATCTGTTACAGAAGGGCATGGCTGTCTTCCCTGGTTGGTGTCAACCTAAGTAAGTTAAGAGTGTTGCAAACCGTGTGCTGGAGTAGGTCTATCACATTCACCTTAACCTTCTGAAACCCATTACACTGTTACCGACCATCTTATATTATTCTCTTGTATAATAAGTTCCTTAAAGTGACTATCTACTCTAGCCCATATATGGCCAAGTTTTCTTCTACACATCCTAATTCAGTCTCTTAAGAAATGCCTCCTCTCATTCTACCATGGACATCACTGATGCCCCCTTTAGCATGTGCCTTTCTGGAATGAAGGAGGCATCAACGGATTTACCCTTTCCTCATAGGGAAGCACCCCTTCAACCAACAACATAGGCCCAATCTCTTATTCCAGGCATAACTGTGTCCTAGGATTATATCAGAGCAGTATTCTATTTTCCAAAAAAAACAACTGAAACAATTAAATGGAGGTATTAATGTGGGAAAGAAATTTCTTCCACCAGTGGTCATCTAGCTCTACAAACAAAACCTGAATAATACATTCTCAGGGCAGAAATGAAGATTCTAAATTCCTTGAGTATACACATAGATCAACTCCTATTAACTCACTAGTCCCCACTCTAGAGCTCTCCAGAAAATAAAGCATTGCTTGTTCTTGGTGTTCTTCAGCATCCATGCTAAAAATCTCCTTGTCACTAATAGAGTCTCAAATTTGATGGGGGTTCCCAAACTGATGCCCAGTATATTAGAAAGTAAGACTTCTTAATGCCCATAAACTTCATGCCACAAATCAACAGGCTATTTTTAAGGAACTGAAGCTTAGTATGAAGACAGAAATGTATAATCAAAAATAGCACCCAATTTCTGATCATCCAGTCCACTGTGTCCTGGTATCAGAATCATCAATTATGACTGTATCCAACGTCCTAAAATCCCAGCTGAGTATCCCAAATTCCTTGCCAACACACAAAGCTCTTCACTACAAGATACCTACCTTCTTGTCCCTGCACTCAGAAGTGTTTTAGACAATAATGGTCACAAAACAGAAATAAGGAGAAAGATCATGATTTTAATTTTATACTATTTTGTTTGGAATTCAAGCTACTGTTTAGCCATTTCCTAAAGAATATAGTGCTACATCTCTTGGAAGTGTGAAAAAAGTGACAAGCCACAAGGAACTTACCTAGGAATACAGGCTAGATATGAAATGAGTCTCCTGAGATCCTCCTGTCGTATTCTGTCATGATTGCTGCGGGCTGGAAATGTTAAAATGGGACCCCCACGTTTATCTCTACCACCTAAAAAACAAACATTGGGAAGAAACTTAGACAAAAACAAGATAAGCCCGTCATCACCCACTCACTCAGTCAAAACTGTTCCTAAATCAACTGCGCAAATGGCAAGCTGCAAAAGGCAAGTGTCTTTGTTTCATCTAAGACATGGTGAGGCTATTTTATCCCCTTGTGGGACATGGAAGAAAATATCTGAGTTTTGGAGGCCACATGGAAGATGCTAGAGATGGTCTTTTTTTCCCAATATGTTGGAAGAAACTCCTTTCTTCAGTTTTTATGTTTAGACAGAAAAAAAGTTTTCATGTATCTGTGTGTCATTCATCTTAAACCACCACCTCCCTCCTCATGCCTTCCCTCTCTCTTTCATTCTCCCCTCCCCTGCATTCTAAGCTCTTCCTTTTCTACCAAGCAAATTGGGTTCTAAGTCTTGAAAGGAATAAGAAAGGAATGTTCTTCAAACTACACTGGTGACTACTTTATATAATCTGGGATCAATGGCATCTGACCCCCAATGGTCAAGCTTTGCCCATCTCTTATACGAAGCCACATACACACACAAAAGAAAGATTGGCATACGAGATTTTAAAAGCAATTTTAAACCTAATTTAGTTAATTAGCTTAAGGATTTGAGAAAATTGTATTATACACTAGAAGTATAAATCTCAGAGTATTTGACTTTGACAGACAGGCAGGCAGAAAGATTTCTCATTAACATATACAACCCTAATGAAGTCAACTTGGTATCACTGAACATTTTTGGTGAAATTGTCACATTTATTTTATTACTTCCATCAGGGTTGTCAGAAAAATAAAGAAAGAAAATTTAGCCTTCTCAGGTGGATCCTTGATTTAGTTTTACAACTCCGATCACCTCTCTTCAGGAGATCTCAAAATTCGAGTCACGATATGAAACTCTTAATTATTTTCTGCACACCAAAAATCATCAGCAGAGGCAAAATTAAAAAGCAGACAAACAACAAGCAAACAAACAAGAGTCTTTTCTTTTAGAAAAGCCAAAAAATTTGGTATATGTTTACAATGGAATATTACTCAATCATAAGAAATGACAGTGATCTAGAACCTCTTATACTTCCCTGGATTAAACTTAAGTCCATTATCCAAAGTGAGCCACCACAAGAGCGGAAGAATGGGCTCCACTTGTACTCTCCATCAAATTGGTACTAAGTGATCAACAATAGGGTGATCACATGGCAGAAATACTCTTCAGGGATTAGGGGGATGGGGGGGTAAATCCACAACTAAAGGACACGGGGAGCACTGTAGCGGGGGAAGGGCATGTCTTTAACCCGCACTTGGGTGAGGCAAAGACATAAAGTGTAACCCTCATGTTTGTACCCTCACAATACCCTGAAATAAAAAAAAAAAAGAAGATATGCAGAAGATGATGGTATTTTAAAAACATATTTTACCAATATGGTTTTTACAATTTCCTAGAATGATTACACAGTCATGCTAAATAGTAATGAAATTTAATTCTGATTATGAATACTTAAAACTCCACATGTACTGTTCAGTCATGCAATCTAGAAAAGTTTTAAATTGTTTATAAATCTAGTAATTCGGGTATTAAAAGAGAACAGCAAATCATAGCTCCCAACAGACCTAGGCAGGGAATCACGTGCTCTACATGCACGTTATGACAGGACCTTCACAGTGACCCTGTTAGGAAGAGTTCTCATTCCAGCTTTATAAAGAAAGATACTGAGGCTCCAAAAGCTTATATGCAACATTGTCACAGCTAGGTCCTTTGCCCTGACGAGAACTTATATAATCTTTCAAATTAGTGGCTTTAGTTCTTTTTTAAAGTAGTAAAAATGTCAAAAGGATGAATAAACAATGGGTTCCTGGGCCTTTTTAGGGGGTAACATTTATGAATGAAAAGTACTATTAAAAGTGAGGAGCAGTACTGATCGTTACCAAGTAATCTTATAAAACATCAGGTATTATTTCTAGGGTAATATCAATAGCTCTAATTTTTTTGGAATACCTCTTATTTCTAAGATAAGACAGAAAATAGTCTCAATATTTTTCATTTCCCGATATCTTTCATGTTTTTAAAAAAAGAGTCAACCTTCTTGATCAAAAATATCAT